GGGTGTTGTTTAGGATGTATGACAGTGAATGTAGCGTTCTTCCAGTACAAATACATGTGTAAGATGAACCTAATTTCCGCATGAAATCAATACGTTCTGGCATTCGAAACTAGAAGTTGATAAAGTAAAGTTTCAATCGTTATTTCAAACCTAAGACCTTTCCAGCCAACAATAGGAAACTAACCGTTACTTGGGATTTCTGTTTGAGTTTTCGAGGGTATGTCATAAATACGGAAGGATACAGTTCCATGATTACAGAAAATGCTTATGAGTAAAGTGATATTTGTCTGGACAAGCTGTTGCGCGTTTCTGTTCTTGTTGGTTTTAAAACTTGATGAAATCGTTTACTGGAATTGGTTCATCATATTCATACCAATGTGGTCTTTTGATTTTATGTTATTCATTACCTCAATACTATATATGTCACGAAAGTATGTTCTTATAACTCAACTGGTTGATTATTATACATTAAACTGATGAATTTTCAGATTTACCCATATAATTGGTCAACATAACGTTGAAGGTAGATTTAATCAGACTCTGACATTGAGTTTTATCTTATGGAAGTTAATTGCACAGATTATTCTCTGCCTATCCCTGGAAGGCTATTTAACGACTTTGTTAGACAGCTTTTCTCAGTCGAACGTTATTAACCAGACTACAACTAGCAATCAAACCGGTAATTCAACCGCCGTTAAAACCCGTCTGGTTTATGCAGTATTTCCTATATGGACTACAATGGTTGTATGTTTATTAATAGTGTGCACTCAAATCGTAAATCCACGTTTAACTGGAATTTGGTCATTTTGTTCAAATAATCAACCATTTGATGGCCATCATGAAAGACGAAAAACAACAAAAGACCAACGTTTTAAGGGGTTTTGTAACGAACTGAAAAGTTGTTGGTTGATAATGTTATGTATTTGTCACTTTATATGCGTACTATTCCTTTGTGAATAAAAGTGAGATTTGTTTAGAATTGTTTTAATCTACAAATCAGAATTTGTTAAAAGAAAATGGTTTACATAGGGGGTCATTTATGATACTTGTCCGATTTTATCCGACTTTCTGTCCTTATTAAGTTGTTTTTGAGCAGAGTGAAGATGATCAATTTGGTTAGAACAAGGAAGTTTCCTGTGTTCCAGAATTTCAAGCCTGTCCTAATTAGATCTACGGATGAATTGACGTATTGATGTCGTCGGTATTTTGGAACCATATAATTCTCGTACGTTTCTTAATGATCAATATATACCTTCAAACTTACTATTGACAGTAGATCGTGTAGACTACATAAATCTTATCTAAAGGAAAGTAGGTCGACAGGGATTTCATTGATTTGTTCGCCAAAGGTCCAACAAGTAAAATAATTGATTTGGAGCATTTAAGAAGTTTATTATTTATGTTGAAGGATTTCAGCTACATTGAGATTACAATAATGAGACGTTTAGAAATTAACGTGTCTAGAGCCTTTATGTTGAATAATATTGATAAAGGAAATAGTACAATTGATTTTATCAATGCTCAAACGATAAATGCAAATCGTTCACCTTCTACTTGGACACACTGCACCAAGCACTATGTGTCATCTAGCAAACAAGGGGAATGTGTCAGCGATTGTATATGGCTTACGACCCATAAAACATTCAGAAGTGTTCTAGAACACCTCTCTGAGAACAAATAACCGAATAAAGCCAGTAGAAACATTGGCGCAGAAAAATATGAATTCATTATATTTCTCGGTTTCTCTTCATCTGCTTACAACCATGTGTATTGAAAGTTAACGTTGAAATAAGATATAATGTGACGCAATCGACGAAAAAGAATTAAAAGGAAAAGAATTAAGACGACAAAGGTCACCGATATGTATATGGAGTTGGAATTCATAGACATAAGGGGCGGGTGATGCATTAATTAAACGAGGTCTGGATATAGATTGTGTGGTAATTTTAGAGGTTATGGAGGGTTTACATAAGATTACTGGAAGTAAAATAAGTTCTAAATGATTCTGTTTTTTGCCTGTTGCGTGTATATTTTGGTATTTCGACCAAGTGTACTATTACCGATGACTAGGGCAATATTACGCTAGTTTGTCTTGTTGGTGAGAAAGTAGCTAGATTCTGGCGTTAATGGTTGGATCTCCGACTTATTATGTATATCAGTGACCACATGTCCACTTTTGTCACTACATATTTCAGTTTTGAGATTTTGACAATAGAATCACTGTAGGATATCTGGGTGAAATAAAGCTTGATCTAAGGTGTAGTCAGAAAGAACACAGCAAGAACTGATAGTGGACAAAGCATCGTTTCGTGGAGTTTTAGTAATTCATTTTCGGACGGATCCGCTGTTCGATGGTTAATATGTATGTGTGGTCAAATTGGCCGGTTGACAAAAAAATCTCTTTTCTATATAAACTATTGGAATCTGGATTGTTCAAATATCACTTACTGGGTATCTGTGATCATCTGGTTCGTTGGAGACAGGTGGAGCGCTGGTGTCTGAAAGTTGTTTGGGACGAAGCATCCATTCAAATAAAATCCTATCGTAGTGAACGAGAAGTCAAGTGGGGATAACCAATTTATTATTTCGTGCTAAACCACATAGTAGCTTAGTAAAATATGAAAATCGTATATTGAATACATCATTTCCTCATCTTTGCATTACCCTTTACGAACTTCACTATTCCTCTAATTCTGTTGTTGCTTTGTTTGCTCATTCATTTTCTTCCTGTTCTCTTCACTTCAATCTTCTACTACAGGTATTCTACTACTTATATCTACCAGCATAGGTAGCATACAACACACTATATCAGAAACTAAATAACACCGTTAGTGGCTCAATACGAATGCTTTCAATATCTGTGACTCAACTGGTAAATTTACTGACCGTCACAGACACCGAATCCGACTAACAATAAATATTTCCCTTCTGTTATATGAATACTTAGCTGATATTCCTCATGAGATACGTAGATTAAGGCGAAGTATATCATTTAAAATTGTAGCATCTGAATTTAGGGTAAAATAATGTTGGGATCACTAACATAAAGTGTTAACACTAGTCATTTTATAAAAGAAATGAAGTTGTGAGATAAATGATCAGAATAAATATGATCAACATGTGGCGAGAGAGAGAATACTGTAATTGCAAATCAGAAATCAAGTAATATGTAGGATTGGGTATGAATTAGTAAATAGGGGTAGATGCTGAATAAATTCCTCAAAAACGTTAGCGGTTCTTATGATAATGATGACAGCAATGATAATAATAATAATAGTGATGGTATTTATGGTATGATGTATGAATAAGATAGATTTAAGCTATGTGAATTAACACTAATCGAATACTGAACAATATCATAATGATTATTAGATAATTAGGCCATAAGTTGGATAAGGGGAAAGGAGCGACTAAATATGTTTCCTCAAATTATGTTCAAATACTGTTGATATAGTTTATAAAATACAATTAAAATTCGGTGGGAGAGTTATATCTTCAAAAGAATGAAATGATTCTAACATTACTCTCCAGTGTTTTTACAGTTGTCTGGATGATTATGATTGCAATATCCCAGTATCATAGTTCTTGATGATTTGTAGAGATTACATTTCAGATTGAAAAATGTCAGCATATGTTTTATTGTGATTGAAGTCATGTTCAAGTTTTGGTAGTCTAAAATGAATGACAGAATTGAAGTATAAAGATTCTGTTTCTGAGAATACTGTTTTGTATATGTTGAAATTTCATAATATGGTTCCATATTAGTTCGGTTGGTTGGTGTTTGCAGTTCCTAGGAGTCAGTAATAAATAAGTCAAGAATGTTGTAGTCTGCCATCATTATGTTTGAAAGATCCAAACATTGAGAGGTAGTCTATTTATGGTGGTCAGATTGATGACAGGAACATGTAGGCGATTACCCACCATGTTTTCATTTTCACACAACAAACAGAACTTCAGACTACGCTTTATGTGAACACAGAGCAAACGACCAAGACTAAACATTTACTCATCATAAAGACAATCGCATTCGACTTTGAATAGATTTCAATTGTTTCTGCCCAATCAGACACAAAGAGCTTCGGTTAGAAAACTATAAGATTGTGTAATAAAACTGTGTTCATCAAGAAAGATCGAAGACGAAATAATTATGGTTAAAAGCGTTTGTGAGATGATGCTTACCGAACAAACTGATTAATTAGAATGGGAGAAAAGAAAGAAGGGAATGGAATACTCCAACGTAAATAATAAATGACTCAGTACGACTCAGCTCTGAAGTTGATTGAGTTTCTAGCATGATTGAGTCCAGAATGTTCATTGTTGAAGAGAACGCATCTAGCCTAAATTCAAGTCTTGTTAAATCAAACCAAATGTTAACGAATTACTAGTAGGAATAATAATAATAATAATGATATTTGATAGAAGTCTTGTTAACTATTTTTTGTCCTGTCACTTCTGGTTTATATTCAGCTGTTGTTGTTATTGTTTTTGTTAGAAGTAAACTACTATGACATTAATTTCATCTGTTCATTACTACATCATGTGATGACTTCAGTAGAACTACATGGCGGTACTACGTTAGTCAGTCGTTTTTCATTAAGTTCATAGTCTGTGCGTTTCAAATATGAAAAACGTTCTGTTAACCGTTTCATGGTTAGCATTTTATAGCGAGTTAGTTTTCGACAGGTGAGGTCACTAATCACATGCCCAACCCTCCTCCTTCATCCGTGTTTCGGACGGGTAGTAGTAGTAATAGTCTCAGAGAGGATCCTGGTGGAGCCCCAATGCAGGTTTATTTCTATTAGATATAAATAGAATTCTATTAGTGAATTGATGATTGTATTCTGTTGAAACTACTAACTTCTTTAAGTAGTAAGGAATGTGAAACATGATTGAATGAATGAATGAATTGTCAATAGCTTGTTTCAACATTATACAACACAATTCAAAGTTCATTTATTCATACAATTTGATTATTATAAAGTGACTGTATTTGAACTTGTTATTATTATTATTATCATTATTACTACGGATTAGACAAAGTTCAATGCAGATTATTCAAGGTTTAGGCATAGACACACATTGTATTCATTGAAGTGAACATGAATATGAATCGGAAAATATCAATTGAACACATTCATATCTAACACTTAGATAAAAATTGTTGACAAAACATTATGAATACCATATTTTGGTAGGTGTATTCCTCATAACCAAATCATTGATTATATTGAAGTAGGAGAATAAACAGGTTTGTAGAGTGTATTACAATTTGTGGATTATACCACCATCTCATGATCAGTTTTACATCCAACATGATTCCAAGTAAAGTAATACGATATACAGTAATTAATATAGTCATTTTAGTTTCTATTCATTTTCACTGGTTGTTTAACCAAAGTCTGTTGGCGATCCACCCATGATGGTTATATCATTTAGTGTATTTATATGAAATCTTTGCAGTTATAACTGTATTTATTATTATTATGATTAATTATTTGCTATATCAGATGGAATATTCAGTTGGCTTGTTAAATTGTGTACGGTAATTTATAAGAGTTTTCATCACGGGTAGATATCGTTAAGAGACCTATTTAAAATTGTGCCGCATTAAACGGTTGTTTCTTTATAGTTCGGAACTACACAGAAGTGAGTACCCATCACTTCCCACTAAATTGAACATAGGCACCACAGTTCTTGCAATCGAAATGATGTCAACTAACCACTGAGTTGGAACTCCACGAAATCACGTAAATCACAATTTCCAACTCTAGTCACTTAATAATATAGCACGAGTAACCATCAACCGATTTCGGGATGATGGGGAACATTTGTTGCTCAGGTGGATGATTATGATGGAGTATTGTTCTCTGAGCTGGATGGTTTCGTTTTGGAGCCATCATCGTTACTCTGAGCAACATCGTCAGCACGAACTTCATGTAGAATTGAAGCGTTCGAATTTCTCCACATATGGCTCACAACTCGTCCGGTAGACCTTAATGTTGATTGGTTATTGTTCACCTCTAACCAGTCATTGTTTTCTTCTTTATTTCGGTTGTATCTCCCATCCCATTTCATTTTCAAATCAATTAACTCGTCACACTTTCTCACGAGAATTTCGGAAAACCTGTCCTAAATCAGTCACTGATTTCCATTCAGTTGTTATTTACTTAGATGGATAGTAGAGACTTATGCATCACGTTTGTTTTATTTGATACTTAATAAAAACATATGTGAACGAATTATATGTCTCTAACAGAGTGTTGCTTAACCGGATGAAAGATTCAGTAGACGCCCAACTTCGAGATCAACAAGCGGGATTCCGTAAGGATCGGTCGTGCACAGACCGAATTGCGACAAAACGGATCATCGTCGACATTGAGTGATGAACGTTGGACACGGATCCTATTACAATTTGCCGAAATTCAGTTGAATCTGTTTCGATTGATCATAGTTACACAAATTGATTATTATAGATGACTATTGAATTTCGACACTCACCCATATGGTGTATCTGTAGTTTGCATAAATTTAATACTCATTCAGAAAATCCTTGACATCTAATTGTGTAGTCAATTATTCTGGAAATGAGTTATGAGATTTTATCACATGAGAGTCATATTGCACCACATCATCTTTTCATTTGTGATTTCCTTCCATACTCAACTCAATCGTCGTTAAATTGCATTCTATCAATTATCATAATCTGTCAGTACAAGGGATGTTACATAATTGTGGAATTAGAAAAGTGGTCAACGTGTGGACACAGGGAGCAAGCTACAATTCGGATAGTTCACAAGAAGCATCCATTAATCAACGACAATATTCGAATAATGACGGTGATATTTTTGCATTGAATGTAAGCTGAAATAATCTATGTATGCTTTGTTCGTCATCATGATACTAATATTCCTACAAGAACTCTTGATCATCACTGTTCTCAGTTTTGTTATCAAAATAGTCTGGATATCTACAGTTCATTTCTCTCCCCCAAATAGCAGTTCAGTAACGTATTTCAGTTTATAGCTTCTACTCATATATCTGTGTCGATGTGATGACTTCAATCCATAAAGTGATTGTTGTAGAACTAAACAATCGTTTTATATCTTTCTTACTTTGTATGTTAGAACTATTAGGTTTTCGAAGAATTGAGAGTGTCCATTAGATAAACTGTCACTTCTTACAAGTATTGGCAAAATCTTTTTATGATAATATTTTTATTCACGACTTTGTCACCATTGAACTTAATACACATTATTTTCGGAAGAGAAATTCAATGATTCACATCTAGTAAACAGACTTTAGCTCAATTGACAGGATGTTTGTTCACTTAGTTTAAACGGTTTTGTCCATACGGATAATGATGATGCATTCCGACACTGCACGTTGTTGATAGCACACTACCTAAATTTAGTTTTCACTACAGCTGAAGTGTTTCTTTTCAAGTTACTCGGTAATTAAAAAGCGGGAAAGGTTTTTGAAGCTGGTAATACTTGAAGTTAATTTCGAATCGATTCTGTTTCTTCTGTTAGTTATGGAAACAGTGATGAAAGATTTAGGAATCAATATCTGATTCCATTGAACCATGTTAATAAATACTTACTTACGCCTGTTATCCCTCCTCGAGGAGCATAGGCCGCTCACCAACATTCTACAACCAACACTGTTCTAGACAAACCTTTCCATTTGTTGCCAGTTGCTATTCATCCTTTTCATGTCTGTTTTCAATTCCTGACGTAGTGTGTTCTTCGGTCTTGCTCATTTCCGTTTCCCTTCAGGATTACAAGTTAGGGCTTGCCTCATAATGCAGTTTGATGATTCCTACAATCTTCTTCCAACCCACTTTCAACATGTTTTTCTAATTTCCTTTTCAGTTGGAAGCCAGTTTGTTCTTTCCCACAGTAGACTGCTACTGATGGTATTCGACTAACAACGGACATTGAGTATGTTGTGTAGACAATTGTTTATAAATACTCGTAGTTTTTGATGTTGGTTGTGATAGTTCTCCACGTTTCAGTTTGATGAAGTAGAACTATCTCGACATTCGTATTGGAGATTCTGACTTTGATGTTGGCATACAGAGAGATGTTTCGAGTTCCATTTGTTCTTCAACCGCGTGAATGCTGTCCTTGTTCTGCCAATTCTCTCCTTTATGTCTGCATCCGATCCTCCACGTTCATCGATGGTGACGCTGACCAGGTACGTGAAAGTTTCCACTTGTTCTAGAGTTTCTCGATCAAGTGTGATTGAGTTGGTGTTCTCCATGTTGATTCGGAAGATTCTGCTTTTTCGTTTGTGTATGTTGGGGCCTGCTGATGCAGAAGCTGCTGCTACACTGTTTGTCTTGACCTGCATTTATTGATGTATATGGGATAGGAGGGCTAGGTCATCTACGAAGTCCAGATCGTCTAGTTGATTCCGTGCTTTCCCTCAGATGTCGAGGTATTCATAATTCAGTTAACCATCAGAAAGAAAGTGGAAGGGAGAGAGTAAGCAGCCTTGTATGACTCCGGTCCTCACTGTGAATGCATCTGTCAGCTATCTTTTACGCACGAGTTTGAAGTTTAGTCCATCGGATCGATTCCATATAATGTTGACAATCTTTTCAGGTACACCATAGTGTCGAAGAAGGTTCCGTAATGTTCTCCTATCCGCACTACCGAATGCTTACTAATAAATTATGGAGTTGATGTATAGTGACGAGTTCCACTCAGCGGATTGTTCAACGATGTTCCGTAGTGTCAAAATTCGGTCTGTGCACGACCGATCCCTACTGAATCTTTCATCCGGTTCAGAAACACTCTGTTGAAAACCATTCCTGGTACTGACAGTAGGGTGATCCCTCTTTAATCCTCGTACTTGCTCAGATCTCCTTCCTTTGGTATCTTGATGAGGTGTCCTTCTCTCCATTCCATCAGGATGTTTGCAGCAACTTCTGTGTCTGACTTTACTGCTTCAACTGATATATTGTCAGGTCCTACTGCTCTCCCACTGCCGATTGGTCTGATGGCCATTCTGGTTTCTCCGATCGTTGTTGAAGTGACATTTACAGGTGCTGCATCGATATCCGATGGATTCAATGGAGTTACTCATGTTAATGAATAGGACTTCTGATTTGTCGCACAACAATATATATTTATATATATTGCAATCGGTAAACTACTCACTAGATAGATTATTCTATGAGATTTTTCATCTTAGATTCACACAAATTCAGTCATACAACAAGGGAATTCTCCAAAAATGTGAAATTGATTTGACATGATAAACTTATTTATATTAGAAAAACACAAACCCTATTTTACATGGTTTTTTATGTTCCCATCATCTAATTTACTCATTTACAGGTACTTGGAATTACAGTTCTTCAGTTTGTAATCACTTTTGGAGGAACAAATTTGTTTATTCTAGTGTATGTTGTGTTATTGTTTAGTAAACTTGAATCAAATTTCTTTTAAGCCAACAGATCAGTGAATGGATTAAAGGTCATGTGGTAATCTTATGGATCTCATGGTAAGAACCATTTACTTTACCATCATTATTCAATATATAAATAATAACATTAATAGAATGAAAATATGATGCTGTTCCAAATTAAGCCTTTGTTATATTTGCAGATTGTCAATACATTTCAGTATCGCTATGCATCAAGTTTAGTCACATATATATTCGCATAGTATTCAATGTCTGTCACGATGGTACTGATAATCTGATATTATGATGAATTCAATAAGATGATCGAAATGATATTTTATTCATAAAATGTTTCACAAGATCCAAACCGAGCAGATGGTTATATTGTGATGCTCTAATGGTAGTTCTTAAATACTTAATCTATAAAAGGATAAAATACTTACAACTTTACTTATTTACGTCTGTTACCCCTCATGAAGGAGTATAGGCCACCCACCAACATTCTACATCCAACTCTGTCCTTGACAATCCTTTACAGTTCTTTCAGATTACTATTCATCCTTTTCATGTCTGGCTCTAATTTTCGATGTAGTGTGTTCTTCAGTCTTCCTCATTTCTGTTTCCCCTCAGGATTTCAAGTGAATGCCAGTTAAATTGAGATCTGATTAATCCTTATTCAGTGATTGTCAGTAATTTTCTATATCATTGACTAAAGTTAACAAGATGAATCTAGAATTGATTATCAATGTAAGCTTGAATTTATTTGAGAAATGTGTAAAATATTAGAATAATGAGTCAAAGTTTTGAAAATTGATCGACTTTCATATTCTAGCAGTAACGCGGATTTTAACAAAGCAGAATTCCCATCAGAACATCCCACTCATATGAATACGCTCAAAACTATTTAAAACATAAATATCGATAGAAATGGACATCAAATTAATATGCACAACACAGATAAGAAGATAAGATTGTGATGGAATAGGTGAAGGAAGGG